TCGTGTATCACCACTGAACCCATGGAAATTAATAATGTGTTTAAGAAATTTTATATGTCTCTCTATTCATCTGATCAAGATATCACTCCTGATTTTGATGATTTCTTTGAAAGTTTGGACATTCCCTCACTCGACCAACCAGCTGCGGAAGAGTTAGAGAGGCCAATTACTATCGCTGAACTTAATACAGCCTCATCATCTCTGCAAAATGGGAAAAGCCCCGGGCCAGATGGCTTCCCTCCTGAATTTTTCAAAAAGTTTTGGCACAAGCTTGCCCCTTTGTTATTGGATATGTTTAATGAATCATTTGAATCCGGCCGCCTTCCTCAAACTCTCAATCAAGCTTCCATTTCCCTTCTCCTAAAAAAAGGCAAGGACCCGCTAGCCTGCACCTCTTATCGTCCAATAAGCCTATTGAATGTTGATTTTAAATTGTTATCCAAATTATTAGCATTACGTCTGGAATTCATTCTCCCTTCCATCGTTTCCTTGGACCAAACGGGGTTCATTCGAAATAGGCACTCTTTCTCTAACCTTAGACGTTTGTTCAATGTACTTTACAATGTCTCCTCTTCTGACACCCACGAAGCCGTGATATCGTTAGACGCCGAAAAGGCATTTGACAGAGTTGAGTGGGATTTCTTCTATCTTGAAGAATTTGGTTTTAAAATAGTCTTTATTTCATGGATTAAGTTGAATTTAATTCAGCAGTCAGGACGAATAATATCCAATCAGAATATTTTCGCCTCTATCGCTCTACTAGACAGGGTTGCCCTTTGAGCCCCCTATTATTTGCAATCGCTATTGAACCTCTCTCGATAGCCCTTCGGTCTAACCCCCTTATTACAGGCATATCTAGATATGATACTCAGCTGAAGGTTTCCCTTTACGCAGATGACCTCCTTTTGTATGTTTCCAACCTGCCAGTCTCAGTTCCCGCTGCTCTTGCCACTCTTCATTCATTTGGTAAAATATCTGGATATAAATTAAATTTAAACAAAAGTGAGATATTTCCTATTAGCCCCGTTGCTAACCAGTATCCCCTGGGAAACTTTCCCTTTAAAGTTGCCCAAAATGGTTTTGTATATCTCGGAATCCATGTTACGCACAAATTTGAAGACCTCTACAAAGCTAACTTTGCCCCCCTATTGACCCGAATCCAGAAAGACTTTGAACGATGGTCGCTACTTAATCTGTCTTTGATTGCTCGTGTCAACTCTGTTAAAATGAATATACTCCCAAGACTCTCCTATCTGTTCCAGTGCATACCACTCTTCCTCCCTCAGTCTTTTTTTCGTAAACTGGATAGCCTGATTTCAGAATTTATTTGGGATCAGAAGGTTCCTAGACTGCGCAAACAATATTTGCAGAGA